TCTGCAGCACCATTATCTCTTTTAAGAGCTTTGTAGCACAGTGGACAGTGTAAACTGGTGACTGAAGAAAGCCCAACGGAAGCACCTTCACCTCGATCAGCTCTAACATTTAGAGCAATTTTCCTGACAACTTGGAACTGGAAGTGATCGCCGAAAGGTTGGAAGACGTCCTCAGGCTTTGCACTGAGGCTGCTGGCACAACATGGCTCCAACAGTTGTTTGGTGTCCTCGTTCTGCGTCAGGTGGTTGGCCTCCGGTCTGGCCCGGGCCCCAGGAGGACAAGCACTGAAGCATGATGACACATGTTTTTTGTTTGAGTTGGAATGGGCTGAACTTGGTGATTTGTAGTCTTTCAAGCATCCATGTTCAATGGGAGCATCAATTCATATATATATATATGTACATTCCATAAGGTCCTTGAGCAGATGGTCAAAATATGTCAACATAAATGTGCCATACCCTCTTTCTTCATCTTTTAGGTGTCTTTCTTTATCCAATGCGTCGATCAAACTCCCTCCAGTGGACTTGCGAAATACACATGGCACCTCATGGCTGCCGTCCTCCTCGCCTCTTCGGTCCGGCGGTCGCCCGCAGGGCTCGGCGTGGAAGGTCTTCGAAGCCTGGCGAGCTCAGCAGGCCTTGAAGTCCGTGGAGGCGACGTGGGACGACGTGGGCGCTACGGGTCCAGCGGGGACGGGTGGCGGACGGGTGGCGTGGATGGAGGGTGGAGGCCTGGGAGGTGGTGGGAGGGTCAACAATGGAAGACCTGCAGAGTTGGGGAGTTACGAGGCTCTTTTTGGATCCCTCTGTTGGAGTGCGAGGTGATCGATGATGATCTGACCAGGTGGCTGAGGCAAGTCATTGACCCAGTCCGCAACCGCCTTTGTCTCTCGCAGTCTTTCTATCATCACCTTGTGTCACTCGGCCTATCATCAACAGCAACGGCTTCCTTGACTGCATGCGCATCACAGCTTGTCTTTCAGACCTCGACGGACGTCGCGTGTGCTCACGACTGGACGTCGCGCGACGGCCAAACGACGTGCACGTCCTTTCGGTCCGACCTTGGTCCGAAGGCGTTCGATACACGTGACGTGGGATAGATAGATCCAAGATCATCCCCATGGGACCGGATTTGTGCCAGCTTCTTCAAAAGTGACCTTTCTATTTGGCGCTTTTCTTTGTGACCTCAAAAGCCGGAGATCAAGGTCGGTCCCTTTGAATAATCCGGTGTATTCCATACATTGAGTCCTTTTCAACTTTTTCAACCACTCCAGACTGGTCTCTGAGCTCTGAACAAACATCATTCCTTTTCCACCTCCAACGAAGCTCGGCTCCCAGGCCAATGATGCCTTCCTCGGCTCGCCGGACACTGAACACTGAGACCACACGAGTCGACCCCATGGACGACCCGAGAGGAGCGACGTTTCTGGTTGGATGGATGGATGGATTGTGTTTGGGACACCCAAGCAAGGTCCCGGCATTGTTGGGTTCTAGCATTGCTTTGACTTACTTGTCAGTGTCATCAACTTGCTCATGGCCAAGTCTTGAGTGGTCGACCATGCTGCCGCTCTAAGGTTGTGCAAGGGTCGGCTCCATTTCATGCTCGGAGAGCTCGATGAAGCACAGAGGCGCTCGGTCGGATGCATCACCAGATGTCCGTAACCGGGATGTCGGATGATGTCGGCATGCACCTTGACCATTCTAGACCTATAACCTATAACTGTCGGATAGAATATCAGTTGGCCCAAGGGTACAAGCGGTGCCCCATTGATCAATTGTTTAAAACATAGTGTTTTTTTCCTGGATTTTCTGAACAGGTGTGAAACAGATGATGCGATAATCACAGTCAAATCACGGTGATGTTCTTTTCATCAAACCCTCTTCTGAGAGTGTTTTCTCTTCGGCGCAGGATTTGGAGCGACATGTGCTCTGAGGAGCCAGGCCGCGTGGAAGGCTTGTTGGAACTGCCGTGGCACCCAGAGGCAGAGAATTGGAGGTACAAGTGTGTTGGTTCAAGTGATTTCAAGTCAAAAGGTGTTGGTTGAAAACATGTTGAAAGCATACCAGTGATTCATGGTGATTCCTTTTTCTTTAATACAGTCAGCCGCTTGAAGGATATGGGTACGGACTTGGGGTGAAGGAAGATGATGGCTTTTCATCCAAGCCGACTCTTTGGTCGAAAAAAAACATAAAAAACACACGCAAAAGCACCACAGCCCAGACGCCGCACCCAGCGAACCCTAAGTAGATAGCACTCAGATGCATACCCAGGAAGCGGCCCACATGGAACCTGATGGTATGGACCTTTGAAAGACTGGCTTCCTCCACAAACCAATGTTTTTCAGTTTCATGTTAATCTTCCAGGGCCAGTGCGTCTCTGAAATCTGAAAGCAGCTCTTGAGCTGTAGTTTTGGGGATGTAGGACACCAGGGTAGGCCATCCATAGCCAGCATCTCACTGGAAGAGCCATTTCCCGCAGCGCCCTCACACGTTGGACTTCCAGACCATTTCCCGCAGCGCCCGAAGCACGAGGTGGAGACTACACGATGCTCAAGAAGCTCACAAAAAGGCCACGGGAATCGATGTGTTTCGGGTTTTAGGGTTTTCGGGTTTTAGGGCTTGTTCAGTCAAGAAACTCAGTCAACCTGTCACTTGGGGTCGAAGGCGACCGCCAGGTCGTCAGGGGCTTTGTGGGATGAAGTCTCGGGTCCAACGTTTAAAGCCATGGGCAAGCTGCCCTGGGCGTGTTTGTTTTTTTTTCAGAAAACTCGTGTGGTACCGGTGCAGATAAAGTATGTTACCTCCATGTTACGTTCCAGTCACGGAAGATTCTGGTAGAAAGAGCTGCTTTTTCATATATATATATATATTATATTTATTTATATATATACATATTATTAATGAGTTTGGCAGTTGGGGCCGTGGTTGCGCAGTAGAATCCAGCGGTCCAAGGGTATAAAAAGAATTGCGTACGAGATTCGTGCAACGATCCATTCTCGGCACAGATTCTTCCAGGCGGTGCTGTGTGCACGGAAGGCGCTGGAGCTGACCACCAGCGAGTTGCAGGCAAGGAAGCCCCATCGGGTGAAACGGACTCTGATGCTGGTAGTTCAGTCGATTCATCTCTAGTGATGTGGTGCCAGGTAGTTTGGTCAATGCTTCAAGAGTCCAAGAATCAAGGATTTGTCACAGGTGAAGGTTTTGAAGGTATTAACCCCAGGGTCAACACCCTCCATAGGGGTCGATGCTTAGAGTGATGTATCTTCAAAAAACCATGTGCCTCCTGTTTTTGAGCGGATCAGGTGAAAACCGGAGAGAATTCCCAAACCTGGGGAAGATGTTTCATGTGTTTCCCCGGTTCCGGTGGAGCAACTCCGAGCCAAAAGTGCGTTGAGTGGCTGAAAGCTGACAAGCTGGCATCAGAGGTCCGGAGTTCTGGGCAGTTCCAGTTCCCAGGACACCAAGCAACGTATGAGATACTGGTGTTTGACAATAGCTAGGACTGAAAAGGGACATGTAAAGATGCATGCAAATACCTGGTAACCGTTTCCTCATTTTGAGACCCGCCCAGAATCACTAGACTGAGTACCTTCCTGTCCTTTTTCTCCAACAAAAGGTCGAGAATGGATATGTGTGTCGTTCATGGACAACCGAAGCTCTTGGACCACACACCCAGGGTGACTTGACTCTGAGACTGCACGCCAGGTTTCAGTCGAAGCGGAGATGATCTTCCATCACAAGGTGGGTCACATGGGGCCGCACCCGGCCGCATGGGTTCTGGGTTCTCAGTGGTTGAAAGCGCACTGTTTCGGTCGTCCCGCGGCTCAATCATCGGGCCGACGGTTCACCTGTTCCGGGGTCGACACATCGATGCTTTACGTCCAGACCATGCAGTGGAGCCTTGTCCGACTTACAGAGTTCACAGAGCTCACAGAGCTTGGATTGAATCAATCAAGCACTTGTTACTACTACTAGTTACTACTAGCTTCTTGTTACTACTAGTAAGGCACTTGTTACTAGT